TGGCGGGGCCGGGGTAATTAAAGAACGGGGGGGGGCGGCCAAAATTGTTTTTGCTTTGGGCGGCAAAAATTCTAGAGCTGGCCCTGGTATCAGTGGTGTCCTTCTATTGCTGAACTACACAGAAATAGTCCCTTGAGCATACTGTTTTGGTGCACTATAAGTAGTATCAACAAAAGTAGGTCCAGCATCTCAGCAAAGGTAACACTTAATTACTGATGGCGTTGAAGCTAAACAGCCTCCAATCCATTTATCAGAGCTCCCATTGCAGAAATAGCGACAAACGGCCAATAAATATAATTAATGTTTAGAGAGCACTTAGCTAAGAAGCTAAAACTATAGCCCTGGTTTTTTTTTTTTTTTTGCCAATTCCTGACTCACTTTTCTGAGGGAAGGCTGCTCTCCAGCTATCACAGTGTTGGGACTCACTCAGCTCATTACCTTCTGCTGCTCTGCTGTTCTCCTACAAGTGGTTAAGCTTTTCAGATCCTTGCCTCCAGCCATGAGAATAGGTGCAACCTCTTCAAGCCCACCTTAAGTCACTCCCTGTTGACCAACTAGCAAGGAGTGTAGCAGCTGGCACCATCTCTGAAAACCAAGACCATTTTCAGCTGGCCTTCACCTGAGCCTGATAACTAAAAGCAGTGAGGGATCTTTATATATATATATATATAAAATCTAGATCCTGCACATAAAAAACAAAATGCACCCAGTACTATCAGGGTAAAATAGCATTGTTTGTTTGACATGTTTTGATCGACTGCATTGGGTGGAGTACCTGTTAAATGAACACTGGGATGTGAAGTATTATCAGAATAATTCATCACATTTTCCCTGAGTCTACAATTTAACTTCTTCCAGTTCAATGTTCTATAAAACAGGAACGCAAAGAAGATAAATATAAAATATGCAGGCATGGCTCTCTTTATAAAGAACAGAAAAGCAGGAGCTGTTGTATGCAAGCTTCATATCTGTAACTGTTACATGTTGCATATTTAGTTAACTTTTCATTTTAACTAAAAAAAATTTCCAGAAGTCTGCAGCTGCTCAGAAGAACTCTTGTGATACAAAACATAAATTTGTAGAGCACAGCAATGGAATGGATCTAATCATTCATATGTTGCAGGGGAAAGCTGTTTCAGTTTTGTGGAGCAACATTAACAGCTGTTTATTAATGTATATGTTCTAATGTTTTATGTATTGGTTCCTCCAGAGTAAGCGATAGGCATATGAATAAAGCCATATTCAGTGTTAGTTTAGTTTTTGTGATTTGCCAGTACAAATGCGTGAAGAATCAGTGATATAATCTGCCCTGTGATCCCTGACACATCCAAAAACAGTATCTCTGGGAGACCTGCTTTTAACATTTTTGCTGATGTCCTCGGAACTTTGTGAGGCAAGAAATACAAAGACTGAATGGCAGATGATACTTATTCTATATTGTAAAAGTTCTGTCAAACTTTCTCAGTTTTTAGAGTCCCAAGGCCCATCACCTGATCCTGGGGTTGAAGTGGAGAGAAAGGGAAAAGGTAGTACCACTCGCTTAAGATGACAAAATGAGACTTCTTGGAATGTGCAGATTTTCAGAATTTGATCAATGTGTTCTCTGGATAGGATTGCCAACACTGTCTCAAAAATAGCACCCCTGCCCACCTGTCCTCCTAATATTAATGATTAATTTCTGTATTATTGATAATAATAAGCAGTACTAACCTACATTTGCCAGGAGTATTTCCTGCTGCTTTTTGCAGCACTCAGCTACTCCCGATCTTGTTGTACAGAGATGAATAAATAAGGGATATCCCTTGTAATAAGGGACTGTTGGTAACCCTGTTGGTAAGTGGTGGTATCTCCCAAACCCACCTAATCATGCACTAAAATATCCTGGCACTCACTGGCTTGTCCGCATTTTCATAATATGATACATGCTCTCCTTTTCTACATGTTTAGCAATTTCATTGCTCAAATGTTTGACACTGAAAATACCATTTGCATTAAGATGAATGGGCACTTTAAGCTTCTCGGAGCTACAGTTTCCTACTTTCTGCAACCTTGGAGACATTGCTGCTTTGGTTACACTTTGAACACATTTTCAAGGATTTTTTTCACACCAAAACTGTTAGAGGTTGACTTTAAAAAGAAAAATGGAAGCTGAGACTTGAGCAAGACAGCAGGTTGGGAGAGGTGCTAGTGCACAGTACTGTCACAATGGTCCTCACCCCCCACTCCCGCCTTCCACTGGGGTGAAATACAATACAATAAGCACAGGACTGAACATTAACAGTGGTACCACAGCAGCTACTAGCCTCCCCACAGGGAACTAGGAGTGCAGTGTCTCTTGTAGCAGAAATTAATCAGGATTCTGTTGTAATGAATAGAAAGGGGACCCTTAATCAAGACACAAATGCAGAGCCGTAACTAGGGCAGGGTGAGAGGGGCGAGAGTGAGCCAACAGAGGGCATAGAATTGAGCCCAGCAGCATCAGCTCCCCCGCCCCAGGATGAGGCCTAGCAGCACCGGTTGGAGTCCATGGGCATAGTTTGAGGTTGGGGGGGCATTGCCTCCCCAAACAGAGACCTGGGATGGGAGCGGCTGGAGTATGGAGCTGCTTCTCCTGCCAACGGTGCCTCTGCAGCAGGATGCTGCCTTCTGGGTTCTAGTGCTGGTCAGCTTCCCCTTCTACATGTGCTGGGTGTGCTGGTCAGCTTCCCCTTCTACATGTGCTGGGTGCCCTGCAGGTCAGCATCCTGTTTTCTGTACTAGAGTGAGTGCCTGGGGGGAGAGGGGAAGGAGGGGACAGGAAGGGCAAAGGGGGGAGGATATGGGAAAGGGGGTGAGGTGGGGGAAGAGGCGGTGGGGCAGGAAAGGGGATGAGATAGGGCAGGGGGAGGAGGATGTGAGAGTGGGGGAAGGAGATAGGAGCAGAGGACAGTGAGGAAGAGGGATGGGATGAGGAACGGGGGTGGGGAGAAACTGGAGCCCTGCATGCAGTGTCCCCTCGGCAGCAGCAGCTGGGGCTCCCCTGTTAAGCCGGCCCATCCCCCCCAGAACTGGAAGTCCACCTCCAGGTAGTACCCCTGCTGCAGGTACCCCCTCCAGAACACCCCAAATATCCCTCCCTGTACAGAGACATCCCTCCAACACCTCACAAATACCTCCTCCAGTTCCTCCTCGCCCCGATTGTGTCCTCTATTTGGGAACTTGAAATATGGTAGCCCTAGCGGTCACGCTGTTCTCACGGACTTGGTTTCCGGAGCTGGTGGGAGCA